TCGTCATATTCTTCGCTAAATGCTGAAACACATCCGTAGGCCACTTGACCTGGCCATTTCACACATTGCTGCAATGAGCAGTCAATTACTCCATTACAACGAATATCTTTATTTTGACATTTTCCAGCACAGAAGTACGTACCATCAGAACAATTATTTTTGGATCGTTGTGAACAGATTTCTTCATCATCATTATGTAAACAATTTTTAATACCATCACATAGTTGTTCAATTCGAATGCATTCTGAACTATTCCAACAACGAAATCGTTTAGAAAGATCTCTTGGATATTGATTTTTACAATAACTAGGATCTTCGTCAAGCCCTCCATAACAATCATAATTGCCATCATTGATAAACGCTTTTTTTAAACAACGTTTATTGAGTCCGATGTTTGAAAGACAATATATTTCTTCTTCTTCTGTTGGACATATTGATTCACAATCTTGTTCATCGCGTCCATAGACACATTGATTAATTCCATCACATTTTGCTGTATATTTCGAACTACAGATTTTTTGCCATTCATCGCAATCTTTTTCATCGTCAATAATATAAGGATGTGGCACTCCATTGCATATTTCTTGATATAAAAATATATCATTAATTGGAATAAATTTATTTTGTAAATACCAACAACCAATATCATCTTGAAACATGCATTGGAAAGGTAACATTGTGTCTGATTTATCTTTGCAATGATATCTATTTTCGTTGGGCACGTTAATGTCAAAAAGATTCTTACGTGGTACACAGTCATTTCCTCCTAAACATTGAAAAGGATCATTTGAAAGCATACAAAAATCTCCTGATATTGTTAATTCATCAGAACCAAATAAGCAGTCCTTGATATTGTCTCTTATACGATCTTTTGAAATATATTTGTGTGTATTTTCACAGTGAAATAATGATGAATGAGTAATAATTTGTGATAAAGCACATGCTGAGAAGAAAAATTCCATTCTGTTCAAGAGACTCTCGCCTGTGCGGAAGTCCCGACTATTCATAGACAAGGAAAATTTATCAATATTCTCACAATAAATATCATCATTACTGCTAACATGTGATAGGTTTAGTCTACATTTAGTGTTATTATAACATATAAAGGTTGTACCATCGCCATTTTTATACAGGATATGAGCATTTGGATACATTAAAGAGATGTCACTTTTCCATTCATAATCGTCATCAAATACTAATTCCTTCTTTAGCTGATACCGACCATTGTAACATTCAGTTGAATGACCATATGAGTGAAGGCAGTCACCATCACCGCAAGTAAACCACATCCTTTGGCAGAGTGATTCTTCACATTCTATTGATGGAGTATTGTAACACGGCAATCGAAGATCATGTGCTGATTGAAGTGCATGTTGTTCATCCGTACGATCCAAACAATCAAACATTAAATCAAAAGCAAAGTTCTTGTCAATACACATTCCATTTTTACAACGAAACTCTCTTATCGGGTCACATTGATTCATTTCTAATTGATAACAATTTTGTTCATCTTCACCATTTTCAATACAATCAATTTTACCGTCGCATATCTCACGCCAATCTAAACATATTAAACTTCTACATGATGGTAAACCATTATAACATGTAACAGTCGAAATGATAGTGTTATCTAACTTCCACGTATCTTTTGATGCAAAACGGTGTTCAATTATGGATGAAAATGGAGCATAGAAATGAAATGTATATTGACAGTTCTGCCCAAAATAGAGCCTGTCAGAACAATTGCAATATGTTAATGATGACAATTCGAGTGATCGATTACTTTCGAGATATTGTTGATATAAATTCATTGTATCGATTGGCGCATTCCAATCAAATAAATCGTTTGTTGTTATCATACTGTGACGTAAATTTTCAAATTTTATCAACTGTCCAGCACAGAGCGAAGCATCATCGTCGACGAACATAGTCTGCAGTGACCGAACACAATATGGAATAATTGGCCATGCATTATATAAAATGAATCGACTTTGTCGATTCTCTCTGCTATAATAATAAGTGATTTGCGCAAAACTATAGACATAGTTAATATAGTTGTTATTTAAATTGTGACGTCGATCAGTGTAATATAAATGAAATCCATGCGAATAAAAATTTAATGATAATATGAACAGATCAGCAATGAGGACAATTCGTGAAATCATTTCAATACCAGGAAACAACGTAACTCGCATTTTTTTAATTCTTTTACAGTATCTTGCACATCGTTTAATCCATATGAAATATGTAATAGTTATATCTGAAAAAAAAAACACCTTGTTTATGAGAATTGTCAGTAACAATCAAGCGATCAGTTTATCGCATACTTGTATGGAAGTTATAAAATATTCACATATCGATTAATATAGAATACAAGCAATCGCTGACAATGCACCATTTAAGAACTCATTAACATAGTTCTTTCGACAACCATGCAAACATCACATATTGACCTCGTATGCTAAGAAAAGTCCATGACAAATTTCAGTGATATTATCCCTGGAATTTCACCAGCGACATTTTCCTCTGAGAACAGATACGTACGTAGCAAGTTAAATAGTTCGACCAATCAGAAACGTCCTACTCTACCCGCTGGGTAGGAAGGAAACTACGTGAACCGATCAAACTTTTTTCCTCACACTATGTTCGTGGGCAGTTAAAACGAGATGGCCTGTAGGTGACACAATTGTCGTGAGAATGAAATGGACTCGTAGTTCCTTTCCTTGAAACTCTCGTTTTGCCACCCATATTCAGGCATGTCCCCATTGGGGCCTGCTTTTCGGCACCAACATACAAGTGTATCTCCATTGGGACTTGGTTTGCGGCACCCACGTACAGATGTGTTCCCCTTGGAACTCCGTATTGAGCACCCACACCCGCCTCTCGTTTGCGAATTCTTTGCCTGCACTCATACACGACGCTGCATGCTGCAAATGGATGCATGGAAGGAGGTCCCAAAGGTAGAGTGCGAGAGAAAAGACTCCATCCCAGTTTTATGGCGTTGAGAAGTCACTATATGTCTTGTGAATTCTAGATCTTTCTCCCTGTATTCACCTCTCCAGATACGTAGTACATTTGTTGGTAAGTATAATAGATTCAGCTATTTACCCACATATGTAGTAGGTAGGTGGGCGGGTAGGTAAAGTGCTCGAGCAATGATGATTCTCCAACTCCCTCGCTGGGTAGGTAGGTAAATAGATTGGTCACATCCAGTGATAATAACATTGAAATTTATTATGTAATGTAGGCATGAAAAATTTGAAAAAGCTCAGGACTCATATTTACAAAATACAAATAATTTATAAATAAGATCAGGTGTTATGCCTTGCACTTCATCCAGGCGCAATTCATTAGAGTTATTATCTTGGTAATGTTTGTCGTACTATTTTCTTTTACTTTGTGCTATTTTCTATTCTTCTAGCCTAGGAGTTTTTCCATTTTCTCGTCTCTTATTGAAAAATATCTTACTTTTCTGTTAGATGTGTTTGTTGGACTTTCCCCTTTCTTTTATTCTCTTGTTCCAACTTTCTTTATGAGTTTCTCTGTTTTTTTCATCTCTGGGAAATTTACATTTAATGGTCATTTTTCGTTCGTTATCGCTATACACGTGCGCGTTATGTTGCTATGGAATTCATTGATAATAAAGTAAAGGAAAAGATGATATAACGTTCTTTATATCGGGTTGTTCTAAGACTACAGAAGAAACCAGGATAAGCATATTTCCACCCACTTTTATGATGAATTGATATCTTTATTGTTTCAAATCTATACTGAGACGAATATAACTGCATCAGTTTTTAATAGTTATTCTTAAAAAGCATTTGAAACCTATCGACTCTGGTCACTTTATGTAAACCTCACAGTGAAAAATAGTAAAATAATTATTTCAATCCTCGCAAAGGTATTATGACTTTCTCGATCCCATAATTTTCAACATTAATCTCAACTTTATGAGAATGGAGTCCACTTGGGAGTATGTGTGCCAAGGGACATATTATTCAGACAAGAGAAGACAAATTGAGATCGCACTAAGCGATGGACGTCCTTTTATACAACATGAGATGAGAGAACATACTTCTCTAAGACGATGAAATACTCCAATGCGTAACAAGCGATGAACGTTCTTTTCTATGACATGTGGTCAAGGAGCATGTTAAGTAGATATAATAGGCTAATCGAATTGGCAACACTCAAACAATGCCCTTCGATATGGCAAAGATCAGAAACACATCATTCTAATATAATTGAGCTTACGGAAAACGATGGGTGCCCCTATGAGTGACATCCTGTAATATCTTTTAAGATATACGTAATCGTCCTGTATCCTTCTATCCAACTAATCTCCTTGTTCTTTCTCTCCTTTCTCTCTCTTCCATCTTCTCTCCTTTCTCTCTCTTCCCTTTTCTCTCCTTTCTCCTTCTTCCCTTTTCTCTCCTTTCTCCTTCTTCCCTTTTCTCTCCTTTCTCCTTCTTCCCTTTTCTCTCCTTTCTCCTTCTTCCCTTTTCTCTCCTTTCTCCTTCTTCCCTTTTCTCTCCTTTC